CTTGTAAAATATAGAAAATGATAATTCAATTATATGAAATAATGAAGCGTTGTGGATACGTCTAAATAAATATCCCAACCTAGTAGATGCTAATTGTATGATCAAGATCCATTGATAATGAAAGGCGTATGTTTTGGTTTTTTAATTGTTTTACGAATAACGAAAACTAAATTTCTTGTTAGATTAATTACTCGTAACTTGTCATGTAGTGTAGCGTGTCTAGCAAGTTCATAGACAAATAATCCAAATCGTTGCAATAGTTACAGAAAAGGTACAAAATGAATGCAACATGTATGTGAGGTATCTTTCCTTGTAGAATTTAATATTGTGTGGTCCCTTACATTCTAGATGTAAATGCTTTAGAAATCAAAATGTTACACCACCTTCTTGTGAATTCTATTCGTACCCCTTCCTAGGTGGTGGTATATGAGTGAGATAGGTATGTATAGGAACCCTCATTATCATTTGACCCGTTACATACTGTAACTTTTAATTATTTTGAGTGAAGACAAGGTTAGCTATAGGTGCAAATACGTTTGAGAAATCTAACTATGGTAATTAATATTATCTTTCTTTGATTATTTGTGGATTACTAAATAGTAGATGTCTTATCGACTTGAGTCAAGTCGAAGCTTGCCAAGTATAACTTGTAAGCCTACCGTGTACTTTGGAAGGCAACCATATTGTATCTATAATGTCGTTGATGATGAACCGTTGGACATAATAAAAAAAATATTCTGAGGGGTATAATTATTACGTATGCGTTAACATGTCGGAGGTTAAAATATTTTATAGATTATGAAAGGGGTTGTTTATTACAACAATTTCACACTATTACTTCCCACCAATGTAATTAAACTTTTGCTATTTTTTTAATTTTCATAATTACATCATAGTCTAATAGAAATGTCATTACTACGAAAGTGGCCATTAGGACGGTTCAATTGTTCTAATAAAGTATAACTGTCATAAAATCAAGTTATGTTTTGGTGTGTAGTTATAAAATCTTATGTCAAAAATTGTACCTATCTTGCATTCTTTCTCTTTCGCTATGCTAAATTCTATAGTCATTTAATTAGTTTCGTTCAAGTGCTAATTAATGTGTTGGGTTCTTACATTTTATTAGTGTGTGGTATCGTACATGCGTCGTCCGGTGATGAGAAAGTATTTTTTATAACTAAGCAAAATACAACAAAAGGAAATGAATGGAAATAATTATATAAACAAAATACAACAAAAGGAAATTTTGTTGATAAATTAGATTCTTGAGGATTATGTGTTAATCATCAAAGGTATGCTTCTAATTACAAGTTTATTTCAAGTACAAGTGTTAAATTAGAGGCTAGGTTCTGCATTTGAAAGATTATAAAAGATAATGTTGATTAATGTGTGAATTTGAAGCAAAATTGGGTAAAATCTGCAACATGCAGTGAGTTATAAAGCTGGATTTTGACAGCTTTGATGCTGCTGTGTTAAAAATTCATAACAAATCACAGAACAATCTTAAAAATGTGAGGTCAGTTTCATTAGAAAGCTTTAAGAGGCTAAATCTGAGTTTAAGTGTGGTAAAACAGGGGTTGAACAGAGGGATGTACAAGAAAGAGTAAATAGGATAATCAAGACCTAAAGTGTATAACTTGAGGTTGGGATATAGTTGGTTTTTGATACTTGAAATGTTTACTCCAGGGGCTGTTTTAAGGCTATTTAGAGCCTCTGAAGGTTTAATGCTATTGTTGGTTGGAATTGGATGTTACCGCGTTCGGTTGTTTATAATAAAGCACTGTGAGTTTATACCGAACTTATACTTATATATAGTATATGTAT